GGATTTTAAAACAATTGTACCAGATAAAACTGCTAATGATTCATTGTATTATTTGGAAACCAGTCTAGTACCTTACATATCAGGATCAAGTGGTACTCATGTGAGTCTAGATTTGTATGAAAAAACGAGCGAGTTCATAATGGTTTATCTGATAAATCTAGGAAGAGGAGTGAAGGATGCAATCAAAGATGGTGGCAATTATGTTGGGGGAGCAATTGGACCCAAACTTAAGTCTGTTTTTGAATCAATGGGCTACACAACTGCAGATAATCTAACTCCGGAAATCCCAACTGTGCCTGATGTGCCAGTAATTATGTAAAGAAATTCTTGTAAACAAATTTTATTTATTATATTAATATTTATCACAATTGACACTATTTATTAGAAGTTTTAAAATAAAATCTAGTTTTTATTAAAATCAGAGAAAATCGGAACAAAGAATTATATAAATCAGTATGACATTTATTTCTTATATTCCGTTATTATTATAATTTTCATATTATCGCTGCTGCTTTTAAACGATTTGAGATGATTATGTTTAAAATTTAGAAACAGAAAGTCAAAGCTTCCAAAGAAACATTTCATAATTATCAATCTATTTTATAATAATAAGAAATGATAATATTTAACATTATATCTATCTATCCAGTATATTACTGTACTTATTACGATCTGATAATGACATTACGACTTATGACAATTTGAAAGTAAACGTCTAAATATATTTATGACATGACATTATGACATTACGGCAAGTCAAAAGTCATAATAATTTGAGCTGCGTGTATTATAGTAATAGTGTATGCATCAAAAAAAGAAAACCAAGAAAAATTTATTTGAATTAAAATTTATTCATTACTTGATTAAAAAATTTACTCGAATTAAAATTATTCAAATTAAAATTATTCATAATAATAATAATAAACTAGATGAATGCTTTATGACAGTGACTTCGTCACTTGTGTTACTTGTTATTTATTGTTTTAAAGTCTCTATTCAAATAAAAGTTACTATTTGAAGAAAAATTTCTGCCTTTGGCAAAGTTGAATGATTTTAATATTGTTATTTAATCACCAATAAAATAATCGAATCACAGAAAATATCTCAGACAACGGAGAAACAAATATTCTGATGTAACAGACCTTTAATTCTCAGATTAAATTCAAACGAAAGAATTTAAACTATTGGATCACTTTAGAAATAACTTGAAAATAATTCTACACAGAAAATTCAAGTAATACAATTAATTAGGATAAATTAGGAATAATAAATAATATTGTCCTTATCTTTGTCCTTGTTGTTGACTTGAATATTGTATTTTCGTAATGATAATAAATCTATCCCTAACAATGAATCCATACCAAATCCCATGCATAATCATTTTTTCTCTTATTTTATA